GCATCTTCGCCCATACGCCGATTGGTTCGTATTTGTCAACACTGGAATGCTTTTGTTTGACTGCTGCAAAGGGAGCATCGCATGAATGCAGAAAAGTCGTTAGTTATGGAAGTAAGCTAGTTATTCATATCGAGGCTTCTACCATCTAACCCTACTATCATTTTTGCTGCGCCTGCTTATCGAATAAATTGTTTGTCCTCCATGCACCGGGTTCTGTTCCATTTCAATTGAAGCAACTTGTGCATACCTGCTTTTCTGAGAGGCCACTGCGCTTTCCTGGTGTCTACGTGCATCCAGTGATAAAATATGGGCGAGTATTCGCCGTTCAACTTCTGCCCCTAACCGGTCGCACTTTTGACAATGTTTTGCATAACTTGACTGATGGGGTTGTTGCGCTTGCAGTGCGAAACCATAGAACGTTTATGGCGCCAATACTGTTTCTTACTTCTTGCTTATAAACATTTGCACACTTTGTATGGTACTATTTGGAACAGTGTGAACGGACTAATTCCAATTTTAACAATCGTTTACATTCCACCGGTCCACCAGTACCCGTCACCCGGAGTCTTTTCGGCTTCGAAACTACTTGCTTTCTGCTACTCAGCATAATGTCGCTACCTGACTCAGTGAGCTAGTTGATATTGTGTACTTTGCTGGCGGGTCGGTAGCGAACACCACTCCTACGAGCGATGTGGTTAGAATGGTCAATTGATAGCAGACTCTCGAGCGATGTGGCTGCGCTGGTCGGTGTGATTGGCTACGCTTGCGCACTGACTGACAATATTAAAAGGAATGGCTGTTGGCTTTGGGTTTTGGAGCAATTCCAATTGTATACTGAGCGAGAAGTAACATATTTTTAAATGCAAGGCAGCTACTGCAAATTGTATGGGAGAAAAACAATTTTTGTTGACTGAATGACCTCAAAAATGATCGTTCGAGCGAGTGGAAAAAGTTCACAATGTGCTTGAAACTAGAGTATTTTACTGTTGTGATACAGCACAAACACAGTCGTGAATCAGACGTTTAAACGGTAAAAATTATCCGCAAGTTAAGTATGCGCCCTGTGGAGTTGACAAATCCGAGTCAAATGACTGTAAGCTGAATGATGTGCAGCAAATTGGTGACTGATGGTCCACAAAAAGGCAAGAGCGTTGATTCGGATTAACCGCGTGGCGTCGTGCTGCAACACCGTGAGGGCCACTTAACAGTACTTCGTCTAAGGGTAATGTCTCAAACTTGCATGGACATCTCCTTCGAGTAGTATGACATACGGTTGGTGATATCCGGTTCAGGGTTTGCTTGTAGCTGCGGCCAGCCACAGGAAAGCTGCGACTACGCAGGGACCATGGGTGACTTGCGCTGCACCACCCACAGCTCCATCCACACACCCCATATCCATGGTAAATCCGAAGGAACAAGATCGGGAGGCATGTGGATGGGAGCCAGGTTTCATCAACGGAGCCGGTCCACCCTCCTTCCCAGGCACATGCAAGCACGCTGTGTTTGGGAATCAAGCGCACACGACGATGGCTGGACCGTAGTCCGCTGCACACTGGATAGAAGCACTGTTCGAGATTAGCACGGCCACAAGGACCGTGTGCCCCTTCCCCTCCAGTATGACATATGCTTAATATAATTAGCTTAGTCAGGAGTAGTTTTGTGGTTATAAAATTCCACTTTCAGAATAGGAAACCACCAAGGGTATCCATGTCCAGAAATGTGAGACAAAGGGAGATACAACATTAACTAATGAAAATATCGCCTAACTGTCTACGGAATCCATAGCGAAAACATAGGTCGAAAATGCTACCGTAGGTGAAAATAAACTGGAAAGTATGAAAAAAGTCAATGGAAGGTGCTCTTTTGGAAAAGACACAAAACACCAGGCGTTAAGTGTCTTCTTAATTTGGGACCACCTACTCAGCGATAGCCCAGATAGCGGTTCAAGAAGGCAGAGTATGCTGGGAATCTTTTGTTTGTACAGCCACAGTTTTCTTGTGGTCCTACCTATAAAAACAAGAATTATGGAAAAAACAAGTGAAGCACACAAATGGGTCGCGCGTTTCGAATCAACCGAGCCCCAAGAAAACTTGGTACTCAAATCAAACAATGATACTCAACACGCAGTTCGACATTCCGCACCGATCACCTATTTACTCAATGCCATAGTAATTGTTAGGATTTTGTACAACTGAATCTGGCAAATTTAAGACATCTCTAGACTGCTACAACTGCGATATTTAGTTTGCCACCTCGGTAACGTACTAGCAGTGGTACGAGAACGTCCTTATTTTTGCAATGCCTAATTAATCACTGAGTCATAGATCCTAGAGATTAACACCTACTCTACTTGTCATGCCATATATCGTAAACTGGCCTCCTAAAGTGTTGTTTATAAAACTAGTACAGCTCCATTTTTACCCAAGGACAACCAATCCAACTGGATAACTGAATTCCATGTGTTTCGTGAATAAAGGTACGGTGTCACACTATTGAGTTCTTAAGCGGCCAGAGGCAATAGATGGTTACAGGTAAAGCAAAGCCTCATTGTTAAAACAAAATGTTATTCAAACAAATTAAAAGATATTATGTCTTATAGCTAACATTAAGAGCAGCACCAAGTCCGTCAACACGACTAAGAGGACCGTACTTTTAACTTATTGCGTTATTTAAATGTAAAACACTAGCACTGACGCTGGGGGTCCTCGGTTTCAAACATTGCAAGGACCTACCCAAATAAGGCTTTTGAATTCCTATGAGGTTTTCACTCCGACTGCTCTATTCATGCATCCGTATTTTTTGAGACTCGCCACACCTGTCGCCAATTTTCCGGCTTAATTTCCACTAATCTATCATGCATCTGAATAGTCACAAGTCTATTTCATACGCTGATCCCAAAAGGGTAACACTGAGTGCTCAGCAAGATAAAGTAAGCAGACTATCTCAGTGGCCGGGTTTGGCAATAATTATGCCATGAACTTCTGACGTACGATTCACCGACAGTTTGACCTGCGTCTTTGTTAGAGTAGTCATTATAAATGACCTAATTAAGGCGTCTGGTGCTCTCGGTTTAAAAAATACCTTCAGATCGGAACTAGTTCAGCAGTGCATCTAAAGTTACCACTGTTCTTACTAACTTCTTGCCACTTCTTTTATGCCGATGACTGGCACTAACCGATTACTTATTGCTAAGGGGCTTTGCTATTCATTTGTCCCGCTCAGAGTATGGGTCCCATGAATAGTTTGGCAAGTAACAGTGCTAGATGGGTTTACATGACTCAAACCATAACTGAGTGCAACATCTGTGTTCTGCTGTTTCTAAATTCTTTTATTCGAGAGGACAATCGGAATAACTGAGTCCACGTCAAGTCTTATCTTCACCAACAAAATGTGGATTAGTTTCCCATCCTCAACCTACACCACCGCTTTCCTCCATGTTAGGACTTTCCGGCCAGAGTTATCCCGGCCTGGAATCGAAGTTGGACTCCTCACTGTCCCTATGCACAACAGATAGTTAAGGATTCAACAGAAATACCCCATCTCCTTTTGTAATTATCAATAGCTACTTCCTATCCATTAGTTACCTTGTCTTCTAACCTTACTAAAAAGAGTGACCCTAACTGTATCCTATTTTGTTCGATCCGGCCAAGCTTGTGTATAAGGGAAATGGCTTCTCATATAGGGCTCCATAAGGTGCTACGGTCCTCGTGCTCGAAAGATTCACTTCAATAGGAATCGCGGTCCACATTGAGAGTGTATGTCGCAATCCATCCATACAACGTCTAGTTTAAAATGACCCACAATAGAAAGTATTTTGTTCACAACTAACTATAATTTTTCACACGGGACATGAGACCACAACTTCGAGTCTTTGTGTTTTCATACTTAGTATGCTTTAGGAGATCCATCCACTGCTTCTACGGAAGATGTCCAATCGATTGCACCTTGATTTTTCGGTACACATAAGCCTTAAAGCTATCTCAGCACGTTATACCTCTGTAGCCCTTTACATCAAAGGCTGGATCGAGTTTGACTGTCCATTTGATAAAGGTGCAGATGGACGTGGAGTTCGTTTCCATTAATAACGAATATATGCACCCGTTTTTGGACCTTGGTTTAGTTTCAAGACTTCAATGAGCGCTATTCCCAAGGTTGGATGATTGTTTAACAACTCGAACTGTGGTACGTGCTGAAATTTCGAGTTACTAGCACAAACGTTATTGCATCGATAGTACTTTCATAGTCTCAGAAGAACTCGCTTTATATCGCCTACTATACCCAATGAACGGTGCTCGTGGCTTCCAGCAAGTTAGTGTGTAGTCAGTCTGCGATCATAATATGATTGCAGATCACTGACTATAACCAGGTAAACTTGAGCCGCACTATATCAAGCGCTTTTTTACGTTTTTGATCATTTTTCAATGGTTGTACAGTTGCAAGTTTCTACTTGCTCCTAAAATACAGCATTCTGCATCATATCTAAGGACTCAGTTATGTCGGTCATTGCCCTTAGCCGTGACCCAATGGTTCCCTCCCATGTACTCGTAAGTACAAGATTTCGGATTATTGTCCACAAAGGGTCGACTGCAGTGCACTCTGATTACGATTCCAAGAGACATGAACCAACTGTCCACAGCTTTTCCGGATGAGTGACGACAGTCTGATTTGGGCTATTCTTGACGAATTCAACTAAAACCATTTCATCGGCCCATGACGCCATCCAACCGCAGGTGGACGACGTCACATGCCTTAAGGACCTCGTGACCATCTAATCCATCACAGGTCTTCCGGCTAGCTATGTCCTAAAAGGACAGCAAAAACGTACTTACTATTTCAGTGGTAAATGGCAAAATTTTGTTCAAAATGCGCGTTATGTCAAGGGAACTTAGAGCACAGTTTGACTGGAACCGAACATGGCGGCTCAAACCATTAATAATCACTGGGACAAACATTCTCAGATTTGCTAACGTATCATCTTATCTGTTCTCTCTTTCCACCAGGTGGTATGTTTTTTGCCAATCGAATGCGTTCGCTCTCCTTCGTGACAATGCTGGACCCGCTGCAGAATAAGTACGGTGAACGGATGTGTGGATTGTTGTTTATACCCGCGTTACTGGGTGAACTGTTCTGGACTGCGGCAATTCTATCCGCTCTGGGTAAGGATTACTTCCATACGCGCGATATCTCGTGCTGTTTTACCGGAACTTCCTTTGATAAAAGCATGTTTGCCCACATGAAATGAGTTCAATACTCATGATTGATCCCTCCTTGAGATTGGCTTGGTTGTGTCCGTTGCAAATAGAGTAATTACAAAACTAATGGGGTTAGTCTGGCGATCCGGTCACGGGTTGTATTAGCGCTGAACTGTTAGCAATACTAAGAAATAGGGAAAGCGTTGAACTGCAAAATTACCTTACATAAGTTGAAAAACAGGTAGATGGTGTAGAAGCGAGCAACGATAACGAAAAGCCGCACCTACTGTGAGAGCATACATGTAGGCGAAAGAAGTAAATCCATATGAATGCTGACTTATATGTACAAGCCTGGAAATAATTATCAGCCATGGACGCTGGCGCTGGTGTCGTCTGATGGACAAGATGTCGTTACCAGCCGCAAAAAATGGCCGACAACAACATTAGATCTCTTAGCAAGCCTCGGCTTTAGGGCGACAAATAGGTACCGGGGCAAATAGACAACAGAAAACTAAAACACCCTTAAAAATATGCAAAGGAAAAACAGAAGACGCTCTGGTCGTCTTGAGGAAACCAACGGACTAAACATCTGTTTAATACGGAGAGATGTATGCTAACAGTTACACGCGCTTTCTAATCCACAGTTCATACAGTCACATGGTTTGTGCATGCTATTTGTCTAAGAGCAAATTTATCAACCTTAGCCAGCAAAGCAAGATGAGGAGTGGGAATTTCACTCGATATTCAGGAAAGCCTGACATTGTAGGGTAGTTAGTTCCACTTCCAAAGAACCATTCGGTTGGCAATCGCCGCGTCAGAATAGTTTTAATTAGCAGCGTGCTAGCTGAATAGTTTAACTTAGGGAACTAATTTAGCATCCCATACATTAACAGTACTACAGCACTAGTTTGAATCGATCTATCCTTCGTATACATTCACATCTGTTGGTACACTGGATGGTGACTATAAGGCCGCTCAACGCTCAGCATGATCAGGGCTCAAAAGCAGTGACCGATTACAAACAGAAAATACCTGCTGGTTGTTAACAAATGCAATGTCAAGGACCGCAACTAACTTGGTTGGAGACTGCACAATATTCTTTGGCCGAAATTCACAACGAAGCTGGGGTCAGATCTGTTAAAATCGTCGGCAGCTTTGCACAAGCAACGTTCCAGAAGTTTCAGATGTTCCGTGATTCCTTGATTCCGCGAGACGGACCATACTTATTTCACCATCTAATCACCCATTAACGCGTGGTCCGGCACCGCAGCAAGCACTGCAATAAGACAACGATATAAAACGGATAAAATAGCTAACTTTTAACAGTCCCCGTAGGATGGTCCAGATGCCAATTAAAGGCTTTAACGAAGAGGGTGTCAGTAAAATAGAGTGAAAATGGTGAATTCACAGAGATAATCAAGTAACCACAACTTTGGGTCAAATTGGTTGGAACAGTGGAACAATGGTGATAAGGGGTAAAAAAAGCAATGCTTAACAAGTCCCACAGGATGGAAATTATTGAGGAAATAAGAATGCAGGATCAAGTGAAAAGCATTTTGGTGGACTCAATATAGACATATTGGAACATTGTATTTAATGGGAATAAAAGCCCGAGATATAATTGACCCATAGGCTAAAATGGTTAGGGCAAGGTCTGATGAAGTGCCAAGCAAACCTTATAGAGAGTTGGTATTGCTTGTTAGCCGTATCTTCATAGGGCTTATGGGGCATTTAAACAAAACGAACGCCGGCTCAAAGCGTGTCATCCCACCACACCCTCCGAAAGCCCTAACGGAATTGATTGCGTATTAAAAGTATACATCCGCAAATCTATTGGTTTGTAGTTTCCAAACACACTGTTTGGTTGCGTTATGTAGCCCCTTAATTAACACAAGTTATAAAATAAAATGCCAATGAGACAACACTTCGTTGTCATTTTTAATATCGCTAGATTGGGGACAGAGACGATATGATTTGGGAGAGCACTCCATGGCTGACTCACTCGAAGTGCGAAGAAATTTCTACGGCATTCCACCCGACTATACAGTATTGTCAGTTGGAGCTGATGACCTTTTAGGTTAGTGTTGTGGTCCAGTTCGAGCAGCAGAGGCAAATGCGGTTTGGATTCTACAACATCTGGTAAATCACTAGGAGCTCCTCTCCTCCCCGCAAACGCCGATATTAAGTACTGTGCATTCCTGGAGACTTCGCCCTAAGCTGATAGATTAGATGGAAGAGGCCTCTGGCGTCCTTGGTTGCCCTTCGTTGAAGAGCCTCCAGCGCAACGAGATCCTGTTACTGCCACGGCTATTATGCTTAGATGGTGTGTTTCACGTGCGGTCGCACATAGGCCTTGAGCAATTGTGGGAAGATTGAGGGGCCAAACCAACCGAACGCTCTGCTTACAAGGCTAAAGTGCAGATTGCCGGTTCTCGACACTTCTGCTTATTTTGAGCAACCGATATCGTTCTATACCAGTACACCCAAGTCAGGCTCCTGAGAGGCCTTTTGCAAAATGTGGTCTCCAAGCTTTTACACATTCACCGGCCGGTGACGCAGATGGATCACCTTACACTTGGATGTGTTCAACTAGAGTAGGTTCCACGTTGACCATTCCTAAGTGCAATCCTAGTTATATTGGAGTAGGTCGTGATCTTTGTTTTTAATCACTCGTCATATCTTAACATCATCGGAGAATAGTAGGAAATTAGCGGAGAAAATCATTGTTAGGTTGTTGCTAACCACCAGAAATAGGCGCGGTCCCAGCACCGAGACCAGTGGAAGACCGAATTCCCCTTCAATTGGGTTAGCGAGTGATCCACTAACAAGCGCTTGAAGCCTCCGTTGAAGAAGGAAGTTGCCAATCCAACCAAGAACAGTATCTTCGGTTCCATAGCTCCGTAGCCTGTAAAGATAGATGCGGTGATTCAAGCGGTTGAAAGCTTTGGAAAAGTCCAGTGTTGACGTCGACCCCGACCCCACAATCAGCCTCTTCTGTCCGACTACCTCGTGCCATCAGCAGGTTGGTGGTGCATGACCGGTGTTGCCAAGACGGTGCATTTCTCCAGGTAGTCTATTGGGGCCTCATCGTCTGGCTGCCTTAGGTAGGCTCCTGGCGAACAAAAGCTGTAGAAAAAAATGTGAATTGTACAACGCACAGCCTAGTGGTCTTTCAGCTAATATTTTTCAAATATCGTTAAGTGGTGACCAGATACAACGTATGTCTTGAGTGCGTTCCATGGCTGGCGCATTCGAATGGAGAAATATCGACGCGATTCTAATCGGTTATACTGCGCTGCCAAAAATAAATGATAACTCAGATTGGTAGTAGGATTGAATTCTAAGAGCGGTCGGAAAATATGCTTGAAGTTCTTCAGCGTTTCATAAGCCAATACTGGCTACTGTACATGCTCTGGGAATTAAGCCTTAATTAGTGAACAGATAGAGGCCCTCAAATCTTTTGATTCCCCATCGTTATGGAGTCCTGAGTGCAGTAAGATCTTGCTCCTCTTACGTATTCCAAGCTTGGATGGTGGATCAAGGAAATATACGCAAAAAAGTTAGACGAGTCGGATTTGAACTGTTCATTGGGAAATGCGGATATTTCCAGCTCGTGTATAATAAAGTCACCTGCGATGAGAACATGGTTGTGCCTACACCGTATCCCATTCTCAAGATAAGCACAATGCAGGAACCCCTTCCTGTGTGTGATGTCGGGTGAGGTACACAACAGCTACTAGGCATATATCCCTTTGTCTTAAGCGGCAGCGGTACCAGAGTGAGTGGCCAAGCAAAAAGGCCGGTATGAAAGTAGTTTATAGATCCATGAAACGTATTGTATGTTTGTAGTACTTTCACGCGTGTTTCACTACTTATTTACAACGGTGCTGTGTCACACAGGCTCAAGCTTCCGATGCAATCTGCTCCAGGAACCGGATCCCCCACTCAAGTTTGACCAGAGACTAGCTGGGTATCCTCAGAGCATTTCGTATTACGGAGCCTTATGGTTGATTTCACATATGTCTTGAGGCCAACCCAAATCTTTTCCAACAAGTTCAGTGAGGGCGATCACGGTGTCAGCCTCTACTGTCTTATTAATTGCTAGAGATCCTCTTTGCAAATAGTGTTGTATCAAGAAGGCGAGAGGAAAAAGCAGGATGTGTATCCGTACTCAAGCAAGTGGTAACAGACTCAACATACAGAATGGTCAGTTTTATCCGTCCGGATGTTACACAACCAATGAGAAGAGAGTTGCTGTGCTTCAGCCAGCCAATGAAACATGAGTAGTGACATGATGATGAATCGGCCATAACAAATACTCCCCGTTTGAAGAGCCGCATCACGCGGACTGGTATCGATCCACGTGCTAGGAAAATCTGGTGGACTTGCGAGGCTGACTTTGCGGTAGCGACAATTCTCCTGGTTCACACATGGTTTGTTGAGACTGGGTAGCTGGTCCATGTGCGGTGTGCAGCCGACGTGCGTTGGCAAGTAGGCCGTTTTCCAATGGATAGGTCCCCGGACCTAGTCCTTTGTGATCTGCAACAGTGTGGACAGAACTGGAAGGACTTTAGACGTAGCCCGTTTGTAACGCGAGCATATGCTCCAGGCTTCATTGGAGTTGACGATCTGGCGTAGGAGTTTTGGTAAAGTGGCATGTGATTTGAAACTACTGCACGTCCGGCAGATGACGGATTATGTGCAACATTCAGTATGGTGCGTAAGAGTCTTCCTAACATCGGCTTCGGCGAGGTTCTTCCGATATCCCCGTGATCATGAGTTCTGTACAATAAAATACAGCAGTCAAGACATTATGTTCCCAGTCTGACCCTTCTCATTGGATGGCCTGTATGATTTCCTTGGGGGATAGGTTTAGCAGCTCGACAATGCCATTAGTCGTAAGTTTGTAAGGTGTAGTTCTGGAATGTTTTGTTTTATGGCACTGGACGAAAACTGCAAAGTCA